AAGGCCCCCCGCCCCCGACTGGCTGCCGTGGGGTGGCAGCCGCGAGGCCGGTGGTGACGCAGCAGCAGGGGACGCCAAGGCAGCGCTGCCCGGGAAGGCAGCGAGGCCCGGGAAGGCAGCGTCCCTTCTCCAGGGACCTTTCTTTGGGCCAGGGGGCTGTGCTGGAAGCCGGGGCCGTGCTGCATGCCCAGAGCTGGCGCGCTCGCTTTCTGGCCGGGTTTAATCAGCACCATGCACACACCTGACCCCCCGGCCTGATTTAAACCCATGACTCAGACGGTGGCTCAGACCCCAGAAACCACGAGATTAGCTGCAGAAACCACAGCAGTGCTATAAAACACCTGGTCCTTCCTTGTTTTCCCAAGCTCCTGTAAGCAGGTGGGGGGGCTGTTTTTCTGACAATCACCTTTATCTCCAGGAAAAGCCTGGGGTTTGGCTTATTCACCTGCTGCCAAAAGCTGCACCTTAAGAAAATATCCCAGCTGTGATAATATCTCCGTGCTGCTCAGCTGCCTCGAGCTGTTGCTGCTGCACCTTTTCCCAGGAATCCAGTAATTTTATGGCTGCTCTCACTGCTGGGGAATCACAATCGAATTTCACGGGAGTTGCGGGGCTGCAGGTTCCACCGGCACTGCCACGGGGCCGAAGCCTGCCTGGAGCCGAGAGGATGCAGCTCCCGGCCTGGCCCTGGCTTCTCCTGCAGCTCTTGGCCCTCAGCTTGACCACTCGCTTGTGGTGCCCTTCACACCGGGGCTCTCCCGCAAGGCCCCGTCCTTGCTCTCCTGCTGGTGCCTCATTTCTGCCAGGCTTTAAAATCAATCAATAAATCCCTCATTTAACCCCTCCCTGCCCACCCGGGCCTCCCTGCGGTCACCGCGCGTGCCAGCAGCGGCAGACGCACCGGCGCCTCGCGCAGCAGCTCGACCCCTTTAAAGGGAATCTCCCTCCGAGAGCCGGGCTGGGGCACGCGCTATAATTAACTGCAGCGAGCGGGGCCCCTCCTGGCAGCGCGTGCGGATCAACGCGGCGCCTCCGCCGCTGCCGGGACCTCGGGCAAAACCTAAAGCTGCTCTTTGCATTTTGCGCTGGATTCTCAAGCAGGGTTGGGGCAGGAGTTAGACAAATCTCATCCCTCCTCCTCCCTGTCTCCCCGGCCACTGCTCACCTGACACCTCCACATAGCCGTCCTTGGTCTTGACCGTGAGCTCCTCGGGCTTGAAGCTGTGCACGTTGACGCAGACCTTCCAGGGCTCAGCTGA